ACTTATTTCCATCCAGTGCTACGGAAATGAGACGTCTTTATCGGATTGTCCACTGGTTAACGGGGCGTCGAATCCAGGGTCCGGATATGCTTGGGTTTCATGCGCAACGGATGAAACCATACCAGGTAAAATTTAAGCTAAAGGTTTCATATCCAGATATATGAATTACATAAAACACCGTAGTCGAATTGATCTAAAACCTAGATAAATATAGCCACACAAACAATAGCTAAAGCTGAACTATTTTGAACCAAGAGGTGCTAAGAGAGAGAGAGAGAGAGAGAGAGAGAGAGAGAGAGAGAGAGAGAGATGGGGTTTAACGTCCACTCGACACAAACTAGGTCATTTCGGGACTAACATACGGTTTAATTTTATATCAATAATTCGATTGCGAGTAGGGGTCTAGTGGGAGGAAACCGGAGGACCCGGAGAAAACCCACGAGGTTGGACAGGCGACCCTACTCCTTGTCACGTACGACCGGGGATTCGAAACCACGCCAATTGACTCAATGACAGGCCTTATGATACAGCACGCACGTGCTAACCATTCGACCATCCAACCCCCAGAGATGCTAAAATAACACTGGTTAATTAATTTATTAACAGCAGAAGGAACTGTTAAAATAATGGACGACAGCCTAGTATTGGTAGTAAGGAATGGTATATGGGCAGGACTTTGTGGCACTGATTGGTCGGATCATGACGCAAATGTTGTATGTCGTCAACTCATGAATTCTGGTGGCAAGGCTCTAACAAGGGTAACTTATAATGCCAATATAAAATATTTGATTGCTGCGGAGCAGTGGCAGTGTAACGGAACAGAGAGTGCCTTGTCCGACTGTGCAGTTGTTACTACAGAAATAGGTGTAAATTGTTATCAATATGCAGCTGTTTACTGTAACGCTCATCAAATTGAAGGTAGGTTGGTTGAATTGTTTGAGATAATTGTTTTTAGTTTTGCAATGTCATTATCCACAGAAATGTATGAATTGTCGTCGGGTAGAGTGTGGCGGGTGTCACTTGTTAAACGAGCAAGTGGCAATACAAGCTCTCACTTTTCTGGTCAGGGAACATTATTTCAATCGTTGTGTATAGGTGTCGTTAGTTTTTGGGCTGGCTGTGAATGTTGGAATAGCTACTACACGATGGACATTTCAAGGCGTCGTTAAAACGTGTTAGAATCGGTAAGTTATAGGTTGGCTTCACTATCTATAAGGATAAAGCTTGGGGATAATTAGATTCGAGAATAAATCATTGTCTGTTTTCGAATTCTTATATACCCAAATATAGGTCACATTATTTGGCTTTCTGTTAATCTCATTGGGGGGGGGGGGGGGTGGATGGCTGAATGGTTAGCGAGCGCGCGCTGTATCATTGAGTCGACTGGCGTGGTTTCGAATCCCCGGTTGTACGTGACAAGGAGTAGGGTCGCCTGTCCAACCCCGTGGGTTTTCTCCGGGTACTCCGGTTTCCTCCCACTGCTAAAGTCCCCTATGCGCAAGCGAATTATTGAAATAAAATTAAACCATATGTTAGTCCCGAAATGACCTAGTTTGGATCGAGTGGACGTTAAACCCCATTTCTCTCTCTCTCTCAATCTCATTTGACTTAATAACACCCTGGTGGTTGTTTTGTTTTTCATTTCTCAAAGTTGAGGAGAATACGGTGTCAAACTATGCTAAATTAACTGCTTGTGGGTGGTGTTTTGTTTCCCGGAATTCTATTTGATTTTTATGAAATTTAGTTGTAGATAAAGTGGCATATGTTCTTCCGCCTGGAGTGTCTCTGTCTACTGGTAACAACAATACGAACGATTCGGGTAATTCTGGAAGTGGTAGTAAAAACAATACAACGACTCCTGGCAACAACAACAATGGGAACCAACCAGGTAATACAGGCGATAACAATAACAATGGCACGACCCCTGGTAACAGTAGCACGAATTCTAGTAACCCTGACACGAATCCTGGTAGCAATGGCACAAATCCTGGTAACAATGGCACGAATCCTGATAACAATGGTGCGCATGGTAACAATGGCACGAATCCTGATAAAAATGGCACAAATAGTGGTAAGAATAACAATGGCACGAATCCTGGTACCAGTGGCACGATTCCCGATAACAATGACACGATTCCCGATCACAATGGCATGATTCCCGATAACAATGGCACAATTCCCTATAGCAATGGCACAATTCCCGATAACAATGGCACGATTCCCGATAACAATGACACGATTGGGCACTAGTCTGCCGGTATCTATTATTGTTATTTTTAAATGCAAAACCGTAACGAACTGTGACAATAATACTAACGCACCTACCCTAACAATGAAATGTAACACACCCACCCTGACAATAATCCAAAATATATGTTAGGACATCTTTTTGTGTGCATGTAACTTCGTTTATATTAAATGTCTTGCAAACATTCTCATAATCGAGCGAACAACTGAACGTAAACAATAAGGGACAGATAATTTGAATATGTTAATATTCCATGGATGAACCTAGAGTATAGTGGAGTAGAACGGAATGAGACCACTGGTGATACCGAGGATGGGTCGGGAGCGGAAGGAAGAATAGACAAGCCACGTATAATGTTCTACTACAAATAAGGAAATATGACACAAAGAAACCCCAAACCCGCGAGTATCAGTTGAAATATTATTTCTGTTTCAGTGGCTGTTACCTGGACATTGGTCCTGTTGGTTGTTTTTGGACTCAAGCTTCGTATTTAAAAGCACTGCAGTTTTATTGTGATTGGAGAATATGGGGTGTTAGAAGATTGTATGATCTCCCGCTAAAAACACGTTGAATTTGATATGTAATGAGCCCAGTATAGAAGCACAATTGTTAAAGTTATTTATCATATGTGATTCTTAATAGTAAAAATTCATGGGATCTTCTAGCACTTAATGATAGTCAATCATCTGCATGTAACAATTTGAAAATTATATGTTATATATACATCCGTAAATATACTTTGTCAACGAGAGAGAGAGAGAGAGAGAGAGAGAGAGAGAGAGAGATCTTTTAGCAGTGTGGGGGGGGGGGCTTCTGAAGTTCTGAGGCGAAGTATACTAATTGAAGACTATTGTCAGGTAGAATTTGGGATTATCCAGGGATTAAGTTCTCTTAACCCTCACCAACACCATCAACAGGAAACATATCCAAAAATCATTAAACAGTGCGCACTGTTTGAGTGCAAGTTCTAAATAATTCTACACAATAAACTCCAGGGTAAACAATAGAATGTATTTATTACAAACGTTAGTACAATTATAATTATGGTGTGTTAATCGTGTCTTGGATCCAGTTATAAGCCGCAGATACGTCGGTTACTAGGAAGCGATCGCTGACGTCACATCCTCTTACATATGGGACGTTTATAATACCCTCTAATGCCCATCTGCCTTCTGAATTTCTGCAAACAACCATCCCTCCGTTGTCATTCTATAAAAAATATATCACACTAATTAAAAATTAATAAACCAATTGCCTATGAAATTTGTATTTTATTGACTATTTAAGCGAGTGTGAATCGGGGGGTGGGGTGAATATAGGAGAAGAATATAGTCTAAATACAGTGTCCATAATTAAATGGCTACTTTGAATGAATTGCTGGGTGCCACAGATTATTACAGTTTCGTAAATTCCATGAAAGTATTTATTCTCTTTTAAAAATGTAAATAGTTTATAGTTTGATATTATTAATATATGCTGGATACGTGAACTGTCTAGATTTTATGAAATTAAATTTGACTATCCATAACATTCGAAATTAAAAACACGAATTAGGATTCATTATAGGTCAATTTCAATCAATATTGATAATATTCAGCTCTATGAACATAATGGTTTCGGGCGCCATTTGTAATGAACAAAGAAAACACACACTACACAAGCAAATGAGGAAGTTATTAAAAATTGCTGATTCATGATTTAGGATTCATTATAGGTCAATTTCAATCAATATTGATAATATTCAGCTCTATGAACATAATGGTTTCGGGCGCCATTTGTAATGAACAAAGAAAACACACACTACACAAGCAAATGAGGAAGCTATTAAAAATTGCTGATTCATAAACGACAAAACAGTAACAACGCGTAGAATGAACAAACCACGCTCAACCGACTGCCTTTTAATTTGGACTACTCGCTTATTTGTTTTTTAAAAAATGAATGTGGTCATTTAATACTTTGTCAATTTTAAGGTTCCAAAGAATGGAGCTATAGGTGCTTTAACCGTGTGTGCTTTTTAAAAGCTATTATTATTTTATTAGTTACAGTATAAAAGTAATGTTCATTTAAACGCTGTCCCCTTCACCTAATCTATCCATCTACATACCATACATGTATTACCGGCTGACTGTGTAAAACGAGCATAATTTGTCAATGGTTTAACTGTAGTAGTTGTATCTACAAATGTTTTAAACAGCTGCATTACTTCTGATTTCATCAGTTCCACTTCAGCTTCTTGTAGTGTTCGAGGAACATCTGAAAATCAATTGAACTAAGCTTAGTTTTTTCTCCTATTTCTGTTTATTTTCTTTTACTTTATTTTTTTTTAAATCAGAGCAGAACAGTAGGAAGTTAAATCCTCATTTCATTTCATTCCATTCTTGTTTTCTTAATAAAAATGTCGATTATTTGCTCGTAATAAAGAGTTATCGTGACAGCATATTTTTACGGGTGGGGGTGGGTGGGGTTTTAAATCTTTAAAAATACTTTTGGAATGAACAATTTAAAGTTTGAAAATGAAGAGTCGTGGTTTTAAATTTAGAGAACAATGTACGTTGCTTATAGTCACATACCTTCGTTTAGTGGTAGGAATTCGGTTTTTTTTATTCACGCCCCATCCAGCTATCTTTAAAAATACTTTTGGAATGAACAATTTAAAGTTTGAAAATGAAGAGTCGTGGGGTTAAATTTAGAGAACAATGTACGTTGCTTATAGCCACATACCTTCGTTTATTGGTAGGAATTCGTTTTTTTATTCACGCCCCACCCAGCTATCATACAAGTCTTCGTAAGTGAACACGTCGTTTGCACAGACGGAAGACAAACTTTACGCACACATTTTCCAAAAGTTGCTGGTCTCTGTAATTTGAGTAGGGCAATGTTGTATGCTGAAATTAGAAGTAAAAATTCAATTCCTTGATATACTAAGTTAACAAAGTACAGCAACGATGTTGAGCTTAACTTTATTCATGCAATAAAAAAACATCTATCATTTCTAGAGGGGGTGGGGTGGCCTAATGGTTAGCGCATACGTGTTGTATCATAAGGTCTGTCATTGAATCGAGTCCACTGGCGTGCTTTCGATACCCCGGTTGTACGTGACAAGGAGTAGGGCCACCTGTCCAACCTCGAGGGCTTTCTCCAGGGCCTCCGGTTTTCCGGGGAGTTGGGTGGCTGAATGGTTAGCGTGCGCACTCTGTATCATAAAGTCTGTCATTGAGTCGACTGGCGCGGTTTCGAATCCCCGGTTGTACGTGGCAAGGAGTAGGGTCGCCTGTCCAACCTCGTGGGTTTTCTCCGGGTCCTCCGGTTTCCTCCCACTGCTAAAGACCCCTACGCGCAAGCGAATTATGTAAATAAAATTAAACCATATGTTAGTCACGAAATGACCTAGTTTGTGTCGAGTGGACGTTAAACCCCATTTCACTCTCTCTCTCTATCCTCCGGTTTTCCTTCCCCCTGCAAGATTTGTCGCTTTAAAATAGTAGCTTTACTAATCTTGGAGGTTATCCAAGGTTAATATAGCACTTCATTATTACCAGAACCAGAAAAACAATCAACAGAGGCAATATTTTAAAATCTTGATTGATTTCGCTTCAAACAAATGCCTTGAGAGACACTTAGGCTGAAAGTGTTTTTCACCGAGGTTATTGAATTGAAAGGGAGATAACCGTGAAAGTGATAACATCTTACATTCCTTATCCAGTGTATTATTAAATACATCATTGATGGTAAACAGTGTTGGGTCTGTTTTGTAATAGTTTTCATGGATGATTATATTGGAGACCCCGAACGTTGTATCTATGGGATTATTAGATACAATATCAGGCACATCAGTATTATACTCCCCAGCAACCACAGATAAACTGTCTGTCGATGCCCCTCCATTAGGGGTTTGAAATGATGATCTATTTAAAAAATCCAAAAGAATAAAATAAGATAGAAAAAAAATCAAAATACTGAAATATGATGATATAATCGAACTGGAATGTAAAGAAAAAGATACGCACATGACGTAGAAATGAGACTTAGATTTCTGCACTGTTGAGTTGCATTTCTAGACCAACTGGGCTGATGAAGAAGGGCATACACCATGTAGAGTGCTATTAGGGACGGTTTGTCTTGCCAGCGTCGGTACGACCTACTTTTATTACGATCTACAGCTCTTTAAATTTTGGCCAGTGATATACACTGAACCAAGGGTAATGATCTGTTCTAAGACCCCCACCCCCCAAACAAAAACAACAAAAAACAAAAAAACAAACAACAAATCCCCAAAGAATGCAAACAAAAATCTAAACCATAACAAAATCCACCGAGCAAACGTGATGAGGTGACCATGCGTGCTTAAACTACAATAATGTCTAATATAATCAGTAATTTTCAATTTTAGTTTATATTCTAGTGAATATATTGTTTGTATATTGTAACTACACACTAAAAGGGAATATTCTGATAATTTACTTACATTAAGGCACAGTATGCAGTGGTAACAACCCACAGATCATCAATCAGGACTCCACTACAATAAGGAACTGTTTCAGTAGAAGTGGTTGATGTCTTCCCACGAACAGAAACCAGCCATGGCCAATCACATGGCGATGTTTGAAATCCTCCAAGAATTCTACCAAGGTTGGTATTAGGGTTTGATCGTACACCGCATGGTATTTCAACTGGTAACGCGGTTGTTGGTAGTGTGGTTGTTGTTGGTTGTTTTGTTGTAGCAGCTGTGGTAGTAGTAGTTGTAGTAGTAGTTGTGGTTGTTGTTTCTGAAAAGTCAACACGATTTAATAAATACCTACCCTGCCCTTTCTATTTCCAGCAGATACTACATTTCTTACCAGTTACACGTTGCTGTTTATGATTGGCATTCACAATGAGGGCCGTAACTAGCTCATAGCGGGGGTGGGGGGTGTCTCAGGGGTACTGTAAAGTTGACAGTGTATACCTATTTTTTATGGTCGACAATATTTTCACTGGGGGGGGGGGGAGATGAGTTAGCCATGTGAACTCGTCAAATTGCGTCGAGGTCTATACATCCCTTGCCACGTTACTTGCTATCACGGCACACGTGTATAGAACTCAAGAACATGTGGAATCGAAATTACTTGATTGAGGTTGTTTATTGGAGTTGTCGGAAGGGGAGAGGGGAGGGGGTGACTATTGAAATTCAGAAGCTGTCGCCAGCGTTTAGGTGCTCGATAGAATTTTCTTATTTGTATGGCGATTGGTTTGCGGCTCACATTAATCATCCCGGGGACATTAGTGAGAGAATTCGCTATTCCTGAATCATGACATATACTTGAAATATTATATTTAATATAATATTGGTGGTAATGGTAAGACATGGGAGGTGTGAGAAATAAAACTCCCATGACATTATTTATCTCACCTCTCATGTCATTATTTATCTCACCTCCCATGTCATTATTTATCTCACCTCCCGTGACATTACATTATTTATCTCACCTCCCATGACATTATTATCTCACCATGACATAATTTATCTCACCCCATGACATTATTTATCTCACCTGCCATGACATTATTTATCTCACCTGCCATGACATTATTTATCTCACCTTCCATGACTTTATTTATCTCACCTGCCATGACTTTATTTATCTCACCTCCTATGACATTATTTATCTCACCTCCCATGACATTATTTATCTCACCTTCCATGACTTTATTTATCTCACCTGTCATGACTTTATTTATCTCACCTCCTATGACATTATTTATCTCACCTCCCATGACATTATTTATCTCACTCCCCATGACATTATTTATCTCACCTTCCATGACTTTATTTATCTCACCTGCCATGACTTTATTTATCTCACCTTCTATGACATTATTTATCTCACCTCCCATGACATTATTTATCTCACCTTCCATGACATTATTTATCTCACCTTCCATGACATTATTTATCTCACCTCTCATGACATTATTTATCTCACCTCCCATAACATTATTTAACAAAATAATATGTACATTTATACCGCGCACAGTTCCATGTTAATATGCACGCTCAAGACACTACACAGTCTGGGTGTCATGAAATGGTCATAAATAAATGAGGTTTTAAATTAGTTTTGAGTGTTTCTGGGCCCTATGATAATTTTATGTACAGGAGTAAAGAGTTACCTTTTAAGAATGTCGGTTAGCTTAGAGATCAAATACAGTACCTGCTGTTTTAACGCAACATGTATATCCATAATTAGTATAACACCCCAAAGGTCCAAAATCATTCCTTGGTTGTCCATAACCAGAACATGATTTTAAACACTTTCCTTGCAGTCCAACAAAGTACAAATCACAAACTGAAATTGAAAATTAATAAAAATTGAGTTATTATGGATGTTGGACAAATAAAAATGCCCTCTACGGACTTTTAAATATGCAGAAAATTTGTTTCATCTATTATGTGTCGTAGCTGATTGCGGTTAGAGCTCATCAATAGGGACCTTTCGCACCGGTACGAAAACGAACACGAAAACGAAAACGTCATCGATTCGTGTGTACTTGTGACGTCAATCCGTTATGAGTGTTCGGTCAGTGAAAAACGTTACGCGTATGGAGCTGGATTTACGTAGGTATGCAAACAAATATGTTTCTTGTCTCATATATTGAATTTTTCACCATTTGTCTAGCCTTTGTGTATATTGTTGATTGTGTAGCGTTCGTAGAATGTGCTCACAAGGAATATTCTGCTTGATTTGTTGTACATCTGCCGAAAAATCGATTGAAAACTTTGCCTTGACCGAGAAGTTCATGGAGTGGAAATTAACGTCATCTAGTTATTATCGTACGTCGGATTGCGAAACCGCGTGTTAGAGGATACGAAAAAACGAAAACGTAAAGGAACATATGTTCGTTTTGGTGTTCGTTTTCGTAACGATGCGAAAGGTCCCTATTCATTTTGAATCAAGAGAATGCAAACATCTCTGACGTAGTCGCTTTGTGAAACAATTTATCTCAGATTTATCTTCTACAGATTATTTTGTAGCTGCCGTGATCACATTTTGCTGCCGTTGCTAGTTCTGGCTCCAAACTGTAAATATTGGTACCATGGGCTTTTAAATGGCCAGATGAAGATACCTACGTTTTTATATTTTTTTTTAGAAGTCTCGTTATAAAGACTCATTGTAAATGATTTTCACAAAGCGTCAACTTCCTTTTTCCGTGTACGTATGAGTTTATCACTACCATAGTTTGAGTATCAATGAATTTGAAATAGCAGAGGAAAACAATGTTTCTGGTTGGTCAACAACTTCAAAAATTGTCTAAATTAACTAGCCCGTAATTTCTACTATAGAAGACTTTTGTCGTGTGTAGTAATTTGTATGACGAAAGAAACAATCTCTAAATACCACCAGATATGTCGTCCTGTTTATATAAATAAGTTATTTTCCTTTAGATGTAGTTGAAGGTTGGGGGAGGGGGGGGGGCGAGTGGCCTGACACGTGCTATTTAGATCAAACGGTTTGTCATTTTGTTCCAGTCTTCACTAGCCTAGTCCGTGCAGAATAGTAGGACTTTAAATCCCATTTATGTCATTGAGTCAAGCGGCGTGGTTTCGATCCCAAGCTTTGACGTGACAATAGACAGGGTCAACTGCCCAAATTCGTGAAATATTAAAAAGGTGTTCTAATAGTAAATGTTCTTTAAAATGTAAGTAATAAAACACAAGTTCAAATACTATTAAACTAATGTATTTTTCGGAATTTGTACTCTTTAGTTGACATAACAACGTGTATTGTAGACTGTTTACATTCTTAGCCTATATTATAAATATTCGTCGACAGTAATCCGGTTCTTAATGCGACGCTCTTAAAAAAAACAACAAACCCCCCCAAAAAACCAAGACAGTCAATTCGAGTACGATCGAACGATATTAACCTGATGTCACAATTCCAAGATGGTGGATTCCCGGTTCATAGCGTTCTGAACATAAGAGACACGCTACCTGCGTGAAAACAGCTAGCTATATTTAGTTTTCGGGCGATAGTTACATAATGGGAGTTCGGTCGTTCTCACATTGGCAGCCTTAAGTTTTTTTAAAGAGCTCTGCCCATTTGCTATTAAAAGAAGACTTTTATGATATCCTCTATAAATTTTATTAATGCATGGTATTTAATATCTTTGTGTGAATATGAGCGGTTAACAAAGACACTTCTAATCATATGGATAGATACAGAAACTTACGATTTTGTGCAGAAGATATTGAGCACATGCAGATTATAACCGCTACAAATAACATCGTTACAGAACAAACTATAAAACCAAAGATCTATCAAAGTTCTACAGAATATTATATCATCCAACATACGTAAAGTAAATCCATAAAAAGTAGGAATAACACGAAATACAATCTAAAATTATCAAAAAAGATTTTACTCTCTTTTATCTGGCTTCTAAATTAGGGTAAACTAAATATATTGAATGGAGCTGTAGTTCATTTACGTTTATTTGCTAAATATTTTGTGAAAGGATGCATAGAATGTGGTTAAAAGGATACAATCTTAACTTGAAAAATACACAAGCAACGCCTTAAGATAAATATCCTACTGGATTATGAATAGAACAAATGAATGGTTTACTCAAAGATTTAACACTTATTTTGAGATCTTGTCAGTTCACAGTACATTTTTGTTTTCACTTATTCAATTATCCTATGCCAATAATGTATAGTAATGCTAACTACAATTCATCATCTATGTAAAAAAATTACTACTCACAAGTGAATTATTTGCTGAATAATGAACAGACTAACTAAAAGATTTATCACTTCTTAAGAGCACTTGTCGACCCACAAAAATGTATACATGTATTTGACTTATTCAACTATCCTATGGAGGCCACGGTGGGTCAGTGGGTAAGAGGTTGGCTCGATCCCTGCATTTACCGAGAAATTTCCGGCGTGGTTCCCCCTTGTCAGTGAGATAGTCATGACTGACAAGGGACAACGTATAGTCTTTCGGATGGGACGATAAACGAGGTCTATGTACACATTAGCGTGCACGTAAAAGAACTCTTGACAGTTGGAATTCGAAATAAGAGTAGGTGGTAGTGCCGCTGTCCGGGCAAAATTTCCCTTATAGCACATTGCATGGCGTATTATCCCAGTAGGAGAAGAACAGTGGGACGTTAAACTCCATTTCATGTCATATTCAACTATCCTATGAATACCAATATTGTGTAGTAGTTCCTATAGTAGTTCCGTATCCAGGCGCAATTAATTACAAACGAATTACGTGTATCGATTAGGTGAAGATATTTACATTAACGTGCATTGCAACTATAAGAACTCCTTTTAAAAAAGGTTAAATATTTGAAATAAAAACATTTACATGCTTCCATGCACCAGAAGGCTTGATAGTTATTAGCTTATTTACATTTGACAAAATTAAGGGCTGGAAGATGTTCTTTAGTAAATTAACCTCGATAATCATGGTATTCGTTATATTGGTTGACAGCCTTTAAGCCGAAATAAAACAATGATGCCATTAAAACACCAGAAAGGAACGGGAACTTTAGATGCCCATAACTGACGTTAGGATTGGTCGATTTTAATAATATTTAGACCATGTGTGTATGAACTATGACATAAAAACAATGATGTCATTAAAACAACAAAAAGGAACGGGAACTTTAGATGAACATAACTGACGTATAGGACTGTTCGATTTTAATAATATTTAGACCATGTGTATGAACTGAACGTTTCTATTCTATTTTTGATTATAGGCTTACTATGAAACCAGGGTGGAGATTCTCGATATATTAGCACAACCGTCAGCAAGTTATATTATTTTCAATTATTTGTAAATTTAGTGCCATACGAGACGTTATATCATATTATACTAAGGTCATTTAACTTTGTACTCCGCTAAAATCAATGATACAGTTATTCACCCTTTTCATTTATAAAAACCCAATAAAATGGATTTAAATTACACTGTAAATCATGGTAAATACTGATAGTTCACGTCACATTAATTTAAAAATAGATTCAGCTCTCCAGACACCTATGATATTATTAATAATATATAGTAATAACCTTCCATAATAATAGTACTGTTCAAAGTGTTCAGGGACAATCGATGGGGTATGCGGCCATACATATACATAATTTAAGGTCCCTTACGCACGCCCAAGGCTAAACAAGCTATATCATGTTCTATACACCTAAATGAATACATAACAGATAGCCAACGACGAAAAATATCTTATAATTATTAATTATAATGCATGACTACTATGGATATTCGTCAAGGTGTGTTCTTATTGTCAGTCTTCATTATCCCTGTTGATGCAGAAATATAGGACGTAAAACCCCATCTCATTCATATCTTTGTGCTTTTATTGCCAGTGCTTTGTTCATAAAGGCCCATTTCGAAAGCACTTCCAAATCAGCGCAATTGCTATATCGGACATTAATCTAGTAAGGCGGTGTTTGGAATGATAATTTTCGTATAAATAAAACGCTTGCTTATGGAGCTTGTATCGGTTGATTGGTAATTGCGATCATTTAATATTCAAATTGGTAGACGTTTTCCGACATGCTTGTAATGTATTCCTACTACGCGAGCAAATCGAAATATGACCTAGCTTAATGTTCTCTCTGACAAATCGCTACTAATGGTCCAAATAAATTTGGCATCGACACCCCGTATTGAAGTATACATTTGAACACGTATTGAAAATGAACCATACATATACATATACATGGCTTCGGATTCTAGAGGCTTCTTTCATCATAAAGTAATGGTGTGTGACTTGCATTTTTGAAAAATATCAAATTTCTCAAGGCTTAAAGATACTTCTCCACAAAGTATTTATCCGGTGATAATTCTAATAAAAGTATGGCAAATTTGCACGCGTAGATTGTCTGACTTCGCGTTAAGGAGCGCTTGGTGTATATGCAATGAATTCTCCCCCCGCTTCACATCCGTTACGGCGACAGCCAAGTCATGTAATACAAATATGACTTCTTTTAATATATTTGTATAGCTTGGAGAATTTCCTCACGAATACAATGTTTTGAGACGGATTTAAAGCAAATTTTTGATATAGATTAATTAATTTTAATATGTTATTAGTCCAAATATATCATCGAATCACAAATCACCCTGTTTGTACGCGGGAAGGTATCTTTAATCCTCGCTAAGTTTGATTATTTAAAGTTACAATTTCATATTTTTAAGTTATATTTTTAAAATGTATAAAAATAAAGCCCTAAAATAGATGGTATCTATAAACAGTCCTGCCTTGTTAAAGAATAATCCTATTAATCCTATA